TGTTGTTGTTGTTGTTGTTGTTGTTGTTTGTTTGTTTGTTTTTGGAAAGAAGGCATTAGGATGAACAAAAGGAATTTCTATGAAAACTTCAAGAAAATATATAATCATGTTCAAGGAGTGAAAACGGTTACAAACTTTCAGGCTACTGGGACTCTAACACCTTTGGAATTTGTTGAGGCGGGAGATGAATTGGTACAGAAAATGCCTGTATGGGCGTGGGCAGAAGGTGATGAAAAGATTCAGCCCTTTCTTCCTCCCAAAAAAAAATATCTGGTTTACCGTGGTGCCCCTTCTTACGAACGAGCTCCTGATATTGAACATGTTAAAGATAATGAAATCGAGGGTGATGACGGTTGGGTTACAACTCACGCTTCTCATAAATCAAGCAATGTCGCCTCATCAGTACCTGAAAAAGTTATTAATTGGGATGAAGAAGATGAGGATGAAGAAAAGGATCAAGATCAGGCTGACGATACGGAAGAACGACGATGTCGGTTGTATGATGTTTACATGGTTTATGATCAATACTATCAAACACCACGTATTTTCCTTATTGGTTATGCTGAAGATCATACTACGCTTCTTACTAAAGAAGAAATGATGCAAGACGTTTATGCGTCAAATCGAGAAAAAACTGTTTCAATTGATCCACATCCTTTTTTAAAAGCAGCATGCATCAGTATTCACCCTTGTCGCCATGCTGAAACTATGAAAAGATTGCTTCAACATATGAAACGCCGTTTTGAGGCCTCCCAACCAAGTGATAAGGAAAAGGAGGAATTCATTTTTCCTACCCATATGGCTTTGTTTCTCTTTCTGAAATTTGTTTCCTCCGTCATTCCAAGTATTGAGTACGACCTTTCCATAGGCATCGATATATAGCGTTTCTTTCCCTTTACTTTTTATTCTTTTGCGTATGTGTTGTGTGAAAGGTGGTGGTGGTGGGTTCCTTTTTTTTTTTTTCGTTTCACAGGATTTCTACAGTACCATCCTCCTGAAAGCAAAAAAAAAAAAAACTTTTTTCTTGCGTCTCTTTTTTTTGTTGTTGTTGTTCTCGTCGTTGCGTTTTTGTTTTTCTGCCCAAGCCCTCGTTCGTTATGTTCGCTTCTTTTTTTTTTTTTTTCGTTTTTTCCCCCACCGTTAAAGCGACGAGGCTGGGGAAGCACAGAAAAGACACCCCATGGAGAAAAAAAGGGAGGGGGAAAAGCGTATTCGTTCCCCCCAAACCCGCCTCCCCGTTCAGCGCGGCGGGGCGGGGTGGAAGAAGATAATCTGGGCACCGCCCCCAGAAACCCCACCGTCGGTTTTGCGCCGGGCCCTTCAGGCCATTCTTGGGGGAGGGGGGTGGTGGGTTTTTGCCGGCGGAACCCCGATAGGATCTTTCCCGTTCCCTCTTGAAGAAAAGGGCGTTGGGGGAAAGGAGGGGAAGGCGGCCGCATCAAAAAAAAACGGTGGTCCTTTGTGCCTGTTTTTCTGTATGTGGGTTTCCATTCTGTGATTAGTTTCACATCCTCCCTGGCGCAGTCGGCAGCGCGTTAGGCTGTTAACCTACAGGTCGTTGGTTCGAATCCAACGGGAGGAGTTTTTTTTCACCCTCACACAAACCAAATCCCCGAAAAACACCCCAACGAGGAAAAAGGGGAAACAAACGAGAAAAAAAAAAAGAAACCCCGTATTTTTTTTTTCCCCCACGAAAGCAACATGCTTTCTCCCTTCCCCATTTCGGCGGCCGGTGCCGTGGGTGGGGCCTTTCTTTAGCCCCTCTGGTTCTTGGGCTGCCGGAAAGGATTTCGGGAAGCATGGGGCCCCGGACGCCCGCCGTCGCAGCACGGAAATCCTTTTTGACGCGAGACAACGTTCATCATCGGTAAAAAGGGTTCCAACCACAAGGGAATATCTCCCTGCCATTTTTTTCTTCTTTTGGTTGTTCGGGCGGTTTTTTTCTGTGCGGAGTCTGCTGGGCCCCAGCTTCTCACACGGTGCCTTTTCCGAACGGGGAACGGCTTGGCGACAACGGCCCACCCCCGGGGAGACGAGCGCGTGAAAGAGAGGAAAAGGGGAATCGCCCCCACCGGCCCCAGGGAACGGACCCTCCAAACGAACCCGTGTTGTGAGGGCGTGGCTCGGCATTTTCCGGCAGTTTCGGAATACGAGCCCCGGCGGCGTCCCCATTCTTCCCCCTCTTCTCCCGGGCCCTGTTGTTGCGACGGGTGTTTTCGGCCCCGCGTTCGTTTTCTTTTGGAAACACCCCGTTCCCTCCTGAAGAAAAGGGTGTTGGGAGGGGTTTGATGGGGGGTGCTGGGCTGGTCCACCCCGCCGGTGTTTGGGGAAAGGAGGGGAAGGCGGCCGCATCAAAAAAAAACGGTGGTCCTTTGTGCCTGTTTTTCTGCGTGTGGGTTTCCATTCTGTGATTAGTTTCACATCCTCCCTGGCGCAGTCGGCAGCGCGTTAGGCTGTTAACCTACAGGTCGTTGGTTCGAATCCAACGGGAGGAGTTTTTTTCCCCCCTCACACAAACCAAACCCCAAAAAACACCCCAACGAGGAAAAAGGGGAAACGAACAGAAAAAAAAAAAAAGAAACCCCGTATTTTTTTTTTCTTCCCGTTTTTTTGCCATTAACTTCGTCTTCTTGGCTCCGGAACGGCTTTCCCAGTTGCGGTCCGTGGAGAAACGTGTGGCGTTCCTGCCCGTCCCATGGGTTCGTATTTATGGATTTCACCCTTTTCCCTTTCTTCCGGATTGTGCCGGAACCCATGGCGAATCGGAATGGCACGGAGGGGTTCTAAGGGAGATAATACCCCCTGTGATTGGAACCCTTTTTAATGGTGGCGAAAGGCGTCGCGTGACAAGGGGTTCCGTGCTGCGGCGGCGGGCGTCCGGGGCCCCATGCTTCCCGAAATCCCTTCCGGCGGCCCAAGAACCCGAGGGGCTAAAGAAAGGCCCTCCTCACGACACCGGCCGCCGAAATGGGGAAGGCTCGGTCAGCGTGAAAGACTTCTTGGCGCCTGCAAGCTAAAAGTGTGGTGTCGGGTATTTTTCGCTCCTTCAAAGCTGAACCTTTTACGACGGCCGTAAAGGGTCGGGGAAGTAAGAATATGTTCCAGAGTTTCTTTTCATATACTGTGGCGGAACCGCGTGGATGCAGCTGCCATTGTTGTACTTTTGAGGTGCTATTTCCAAATGTGAATATTGACAGTTTGCTTTCAAGACGAATGTAAGGTGATAGTGAGGACCTTGGACCTCATTCATTCTGTGGTATTTTAAAGTTTTAAGAGTAACTACACTTTACTGGAACGCTTTTTATATTCACCAGTCCTTGGCAATGCCGGACAACTCAACTTGGTGCCAAGGTCCGGCACTTCGTATTGTCGGAGGAAGCCAAGAGCCAGCGACTTTTTTCTTCTGGAAGACCCGTTGGCCCTTAGGCTACAGCGTTATACAGCACCGGGGCCAGCCGCGTCGTGCTGGGGCAGAAATATATCCAAGAAGGTCCTGAGGCACGTGTCGGTGTGCTATCGGTACAGAACTTCTACGTCCGCTCAGCCTCCATCGTAATACACTGCAGAAAATTCTGTGATGGACAGGGTATGCTACAAAAAACGAATTCCACCACAACGTACGATACAAAACAACGAAAACAAGAGACCTTCCGGCATTAGTCTGTCCCACGTGTGGTCGCCAATGTATGAGTAAATCAGGCCTAACTCTACACCGAATGTCACGACATGGGTATCAACCTACTCACGCGCACACCAGCCAACGCGACGAATGCGAAGAAACAGCTCTGCATCTCTCGAGTTGCCCCGCTCTTCATCCACTGCGAGTTCGATTTGCGATCGTTGATTATGTATCCCTGATGAAACTATGTTTTTCTAAGCGGTTAGCAAAATTCCTTATTGCGGTGGAGCGGAACTACGCTATGCCACACTCTTCACAACCAAGAGAAACCCTACACAGCTTACCTCCCCCCACCTCTCTAAAATCAGCAACGAGCACGACCATGGAAACCCTGATAGAAGAGTAAGCTCAAGACGCCTGTCAACGACCAAAAACAAGCAGCAAAATAAATAGGAGTTCATTGAGGCCAATCTATTATAAAAAACCCAAAAATAACAAAAATAATAAGAAAAAGGAGACTTAAGGATGGGTTTTGGGTAAGAAAAGTGAGAGTAGAGAGATCTGGTTAGGTTTACTTGATCAGATTTCTCGTAGACTGGTTCTCTCGTATGGGAACGGGCTACAACAAAAAACATATTACAAGAGCTTGAGGATCCTATAAAATGAAGGGATCTTCTTCTTCAGAGCCACTCGTATGTCGGTAATTAGGTGCTCTACGGTGTATGGTTGATAGCCGTACCATTGGATTAATATCCATAAAGACACGAAGAAGAAAAAAAATATTCACCGGTGTTTTCTTTTAACGTTGGACATTATTGGAACAATCTAGGTTTAGATTTGCACCTCAAGTTACATGATTCACATATTAAAGGGTAGGTTATCACATTTGGGGACGTTCTGTCCTGTTCTTAGTTTGCTTTTTATGTGGTGTTGTTTGAGGTGCTTAGTCAATGAAGACATTATTCTCTCTTATTGTGTTTTTTTCCCCCCTCTGAGTGCATCTTCTGTGGTGTTTTCTTACCTACTTTGTGTATTTCTAAAGGTTGTTTTACTATAACTTTCTGTTCTTCTGTCTTTATTTGACAGTATCTGTACCCAAAACAAGAACGATAACTCTTGTCAAGATACTGTAGTGCCATGTGTTACGTCCTGTGGTTTTGCTGCTAAGCATGACATCTGTCTCTCTTTCTAGCAGCTGCACGGAATACCACAAGCGACTCCTATTGATCGTACAACTCCTCATGTTCCTTCGCACGCTCCTGCCTCTGTTGCTAGTGTTGGTCTTTCTTGAGCTAAAAAGAAGCTGCACGAACACAATGGAGAAGAGGTAGAGAGTAAAATTCATAGTACTGATGTGTTACTCCTCCTGGTGATGGTGGTGGTCATCCTCCTGCACCTCCTCTTTCCTCCGAACCTGTTGTTACTTCTCCTGTTACTGTTTCATAGTCTGGTGATGGTAGAGGAGGCAGTGGTGGACAACAGTTACCGCTCACTGGGTGTCAGGAGGGCCACAGGGAGGGAGACAAAGACCATGATTCAGAGGACTTGCCTCCTACTGGTGAAGTGACGGTGGCTGAGAGGGAGAACATGGAGTCCACATCTCATCCACAGCCGTCATCACCAGCGGTCACGAATCCCAAGGAACACAGTTCTGGTACGCAACTGGACTCCTCCGTGGGAGCCCGACAGGAGACTTCTGGCGGTCGACAGGACTCTCATCAAAGAGATGGTCCACCTGCTTCCAACAGCGCACCCAACACAGATGTAGTCTCTGAAGAAGCCAGATATTCAGAACTCTCTTCTGCTGGAGCTTCTGAAGCTTCTACCACACCTTCACCACGGGCCACCGTGGATACAACTGCGTCTGATGACACTCCTGGTAACTCAAACCCAGAAGGTGTGAAGAATGCTGATGTCAACGTGACTAAGAGTGGCGGTAATACTGCAGACCAGAGCAACTAATAACTAGGCGAACACGAACCCTGACACCACCAATACACCCATAGTGGAAGGGTCAACCACCACCATCACAACAACAACAACAACACTTCCTTCTGTACCCCACTCACAGATCAGCAATATTGCCTCTAATATGCAGAACAAGGCTAATGCTGACAGCAGTGTCAGTCCTCTGTGGATGCGCACTGCAGCACCGCTGCTGATTATGGTTGTGTTGTTCTCCGCTACTGTGTACTGAACGGTGGCACTCATCTGAGGACAAATAATAATAATGATTAAACTAACATAATCATAATTACGTATATCCCTATGGGTGAATTCATTAATAATCTGTTTACAAGTTTTCTATTTTAATTGGAATATCTTTTCTTTTACTTTTGTGTCTGTGTTCTTTTTCTAATAATTCCATTACTTACTTTTTCCGTTCTGTGTTTACAGAAAACTGGGCTGTTCTGCTCACTGACGGTATACATCTCTTGCTAGTACACACAGATGTGTGTGTGCAGTAATTTAATACTTAAACTAGAGCCATGGGGTATTGTGTGTGTTCTCTTTTTTTTTTTCTTTTCTATTAATGCGCACATATTATCATTACAAGCGGGCTATTCCATTTTGTTGCTTTACTGTGCAGTTGCTGTTTCTCTCTCTTTTCCACTGGGAATATTTGTTGTACTGCATCCACTCACTATGTGTGTGCATAGTAATAGTGGTGTACTTGTGCATTTGTTTTTTCTCACTCACTCTTTCTCTCTCTCTCTCTCTACATACATACAGACATACAGAGTTCAGTGATCCTTAGTGATATTAATAACAAGAATGTCCATGTTGCCTTCTTTTACACCATTATCATATTTATCTACGGTTGCGGAATCCGAACTACAGGCCACTTATGATGCCGCATTCGAGCGCTGGAAGGCTGCCAAGCAGGCCAAGTTAGATGTCAGGTGGGAAAAGGATGAGAAGAAGAAGTTAGCAGCACAAAAACCGAATGGTACCAGCGAATCTTATCTTGCTTGGGCAGAATATTGGAGGGCAGAGATTACCTTTATGGAAAGGTGTCAACAAGAAGCTGCCGCTGAGTATGAAAATCACGCAAGCTACGCCAATTTAATGCTGAAGCGGTATGGTGTTGATTCCACAGCAGGGCAGATTGCAATGTACCGCTTAGAGCTAACCCGCACAAAGGAGTTTGCATTGGGTTGTTCCTCTCAATACTGGACAAAGTGGCATCAGTTGGTGTCCACCGCTTCGCTGCGGTACTGTCAGCTCAAGGCCGAAGCTTCTGATGGAGCTGCAGATGAGGTTGAGAAGGCAAAAGATAAATTTCATGATCGTATAAACAATGAGTCCAATGGTGAAGCCTTTCTCGAAGCCTGGAATGCTGCCCTTGCAGCGCTGGATAGGTGGGAAGAAACAGGTGATTGTACCGCTTGGGATAAGACCAAACGAAAGTATGATGCCGAATTGGAAAAATGGAATGAGTTCAAACCCACGGGAGAACAATACGCGAAAAAGCTGGAAACGAGAGTTGACGAGTGTCTTCGATGGAAGGAGTCAGAAAAAAAGTACAAGGATGCTGTCGAGCGTTACCAAGCCGCTGAACAAGCTGAGGCAGGTGCTAAGAAGGAAATGGATGAGAAAAGGGCTTTAGCAGAAGAAACACAGAGGGGCACCAAAGAGTATTATCTCGCTTTGGCAGAAAAACACAAGGCGGAAATGGTTTTTCTTGAAAAGATTGAACAAAAATATGCTGCTGAGCCTGCAAGAAATTTGTGCTACACAGATTGGATGAACCACAAGCACGGGGCTGACTCCAAGGAAGCGCAAATAGCCCAGCATCGCGCAGAGTTGGCTCGCACAAAGGAGTTTGTTTATAGTGATAGCTCTCCATATTGGACAAAATGGTACAAGTTGTGTAGCAAAGCTGATTGTGTATTGAATCAGCTGAAGGCAGAAGGTTATGAAAACGTTGCAGCTGATCTCGATAGGGCAAGGGAGATGTTTTGGTATCGTATAAAAGTAGGATTTAGTGGTGAAGACTTTCGCAATGCTCGGAATGCAGCCGTAGTAGCGTTGGATAGATGGGAAAGAGAGAATAATCGTACTGACTGGGATAAGGCAAAACCAGAGTACGACTCCGCATTAGCCAAGTGGAATGCGTTCATACCCAAAGGAGAACAATATGCGGATGAATTGGACAAAACAATTAACTCGTGCATCAAGAGTTTTGGGCCGATATCGGACTTGTTTTGTGGTTACATTGGTGAAAGTGTTGCTGAGTTGCAGGAGCAAGCCAAACAAGATCCACACTCTGCTAAAGATTTGGAATTGCTAAGGAAGTATGATGCTGCAGCCAAGATTTACCAAGCCGCTGAACAAGCTGAGGCAGATGCTAAGAAGGAAAGGGATGAGAAACGGGCTTTAGCAAAAAAAACACAGAGGGGCACCAAAGAGTATTATCTCGCTTGGGCAGAAAAACACAAAGCAGAAATGGTTTTTATTGAAAAGATTGAACAAAGATATGCTGCTGAGTATAAGAGAGATTTGTGCTACACACAATGGATGAAACACAAGCACGGAGCTGACTCCAAGGAAGCGCAAATAGCCCAGCATCGCGCAGAGTTGGCTCGCACAATGGAATATGTTTACAGTGATAGCTCTCCATATTGGACACAATGGTACAAGTCGTGTAGCAAAGCTGAGTGGGTGCATTATCAGCTCAATGCAGAAGGTTATGACAACTTCGCAGCTGATCTCGATAGGACAAAGAAAGCGTTTTGTGATCGTATAAAAGAAGAATCCAATGGTGAAGACTTTCGCAATGCTCGGGATGCAGCCGTGGGAATGTTGAGGAAATGGGAAAGATGGAATAATCGTACTGACTGGGATAAGGCAAAACGAAGATATTCTGCTGAACTAGCCAAGTGGAATGAGTTCAAACTCAAAGGCAATCAATATGCGGAAGAATTGGAGGAATCAGTTAATTTGTGCATCAAGAGTTTTGTGCCTATATCGGACTTGTTTTGTGGTTACATTGGTGAAAGTGTTGCTGAGTTGCAGGAGCAAGCCAAACAAGATCCACACTCTGCTAAAGGTTTAGCATTGCTAAAGAAGTATGATGCTGCAGCCAAGATTTACCAAGCCGCTGAACAAGCTGAGGCAGATGCTAAGAAGGAAATAGATGAGAAAGGGGCTTTAGCAGAAGAAACAGAGGAGGTCACCAAAGAGTATTATTTCGCTTGGGCAGAAAAACACAAGGCAGAAGTCGCATTTGCTGAAAAGATTGAACAAAGATATGCTGCTGAGTATAAGAGAGATTTGTGCTATGCAGATTGGATGAAACATGAGCGTGGAACTGACTCCAAGGAAGCGCAAATAGCCCAGCATCACGCAGAGTTGGCTCGCACAAAGGAATATGTTTACAGTGATAGCTCTCCATATTGGATAAAATGGTACAAGTTGTGTAGCATAGCCCTGTGTATGTATTATCAGCTGAAGGCAGAAGGTTATGACAACGTTGCAGATAAGCTCGATAGGACAAGGGAGATGTTTTTTAATCGTATAGAAGAAGAGTCCAATGGTGAAGCCCTTTGCAACGCTCGGTATGCGTCCCTCACAGAGCTGGGTTTGTGGCAAGCAGAGAATGATTGTACCGATTGGGATGAGGCCAAATCAAAGTACGATGCCGAACTGAAAAAGTGGAAAGAGTTTCAACCCAAGGGGGAGGAGTATGCACTTATTCTGGAGAGTAGAATAAAGAGATTATCTACGTTTGATGAAGCCGAATTAAAAGCAAAACATAACGATGCAGTCAAACGCTGGGAGGCTGCCAAACATGATGTGGTAATTGCTGAGATGGAAGAAAATGAGAAATGGGATGTAACGGTGCACATTCCGTGGCTTAGCAAGGAGTGGAGACTTGCTCAGGCAGAATATGACAAGGTACATATTGATTTGATTGGAAAGATGGAGCGAGAATATGCTGCCGAGCATGAAATGTATGAGGTCGCAGTAACCTTAATGATCCACGAGCACGGAGGTGATTCAAAGGCAGCGCAGATTGCCATGTGTCGTGCAGAACTAGCCAGTACGAAGGAGTTTGCACGGTATGATTACTCTCCATATTGGACGAAGTGGTCCAAGTT